TTTTAACTGTACTTGGTGTTTTTTTGTTTTTCTATAGCTTTCAAATTTTAATGAAAATATTTTGAATTTTTATGTATTTTTGGCTTGCCGCCAAGTATGAGAACTGAATTAATTAGTAGCGCATGCGCAATAGGTAAGCGGCGCTGAATCGTCTGTGAAAAACTGTTTCCTTTTTATTGTTTAATTTCTTTATACATCGTTTTAGATTTATTACAGTATTTGAATAGAACTTGTGGTAATTCTTCAGATGATATATTTTTTGTGTATTCTGAGTTATAAAATGAATGTTAATGCTGTTAAGTGAACATAACGCTGAAGTGTCGCTATGGTAAATAAATATGGTGAACTTTAAAAGAGTGCATTTATTCTCTTGTGGTTTATGCGCTATCGACGAAGTAGATTTAATTCAAAATTCGTTAACTGTTAATTCAATATGTTTAAATGAAATTCAAGAGAATTGCGTATAATATTCCGTACAAGGAAGTCATGTGGTGTACACGTCAGAATTTTTTCAATGATGTTAAATTTACCTCCAGTTCATTTAGCGCCACAGATTGAGAAAGGTGAACATCTCAATAACGCATTCACATGTTACAGCTTGAAATATGTGACCGGTCCCACAAGACTGGAAATTGTGAAAGCGGGTCTCTGAAACTAACTAATACTGCGACACGAACGCTTTCGTGCTACGCATCGTTAAGTCGCCAAATTAATTTAAATCACAAAGCCTAAATTACGAAAGATTTTTAGTGTGCTATTAAAACTTGCTATGATTTTTAATGCTTTTTAAGTGGAAGACTCCAGGTTATGTTGTAATAAGAAAACTTTCTTATCACGGAATAATTTACTTTGCTCTTTTATTTTAATTTAATGGTAAACAATCACGTATACTTTTAAAAGATCTGTATTTAACTGCAACCTTTCCAAGGAAGCAAATGCATTCGATTGTGCAATTTAAAGACGTTATTTAACCATCCCATATACAGTAGAACTCCAATTATCCTAATCAGTTAAGACCGGACCCTATTCGGATAATAAAAAAAATCGGATAATTAGATTTTTTCTGAAGAAAGGGTCTACATACACTTTAAATAATTACTGTATGTACTGTATGTTGAAAATGGGATAAGAAAACAATATTTTTCTTCACAATTTCAAGAAAAAGACGTTTTAATTAATTTATATGAGCAGGCAACACTTCTGCGTAACATGTTTTATAGCGTACTGTACAGTTCTTCAAAGTGCTGAAAGTCATTGCTTGCTGAACATCTTCGTCAAAGTAAGCTGTTTGACGGATACCGCGCCTGCACTTAAAATTTCGTAGCCAGCCGTTACTTGCTTTAAAGGATGAACAACCAAGCTTCTGAGCTATTTTCACAAAGAATCGGACCCGAAATTGGGTTTTCCATAGAACGTTGCTGCAAAAGCCACTTGAAAACAACATCTAAAATTTTGTTTGTTGCTGCATTGAATTTCTTTAATTGAATTCTGCATTGAATTATAAGTACTTTCGGCTTCGTTTTCAAGCAGTGACTAGAAGTTTAAAAGTGTAGGTTTGGTCCATTTAATGTCTGAAATCGTGGATTGTCCAGCACAACCTTTCCTTCTTAATTTTTTCCTTAAATTCTGAAAGCAATTCGGATAGAAGGGGTTCGGATAGTTAGAGTTGTACTATACTTGCGATTCATTTCCAAGCAAACATATCCTTTCAGAACGTTTACTTTAATTGCAGTAGTGTGCGTAGAGGTGTGATAAGTTTGTTGCCGGTACTTTGTTTAAAAAGATCAGCACAAGCTATTTCTAAATGCAATGCTTAAATATTAAAAATATTTAATCAGCAGTCACAACGTGGTGTAAATAACCCAAAACCTGAGTTTAAGCACAAAGAACTGATATAACCGCTACTTATGATTCCTCCCTAAGGTTATTATGAGGTTAATTTTGCAATACTTTTTGGTTCCCCAAAGTAGCTTGATTTCGGTTGGAGGAATTACTAAAAGAATATATAGATACTATTGAATTAAGAATATATTCTATAACAAATGATAAATTTAACCTCTTGAAAATAAAATAATTGTATAATTTTATATACTTATTTCGGTATGTTTAAAAATGTTTTAAAAAAAGATATTTCAGTTGGTTTTGAAATTCTATTTATAATTTTAAAATAATAATTCGCTGTGTTGTGCTTCGTTTAATTACCTGTGTAATTATGTATATTGAAGATCTAAATTATCCTGATGTGCACTATACTTGAAATTGCTTTGTCGAATTTAATATTTTGGATTATCATGTGCAATAAAAGTTTTTTGTTTAACTGTTAATGAATTTGAAAAATGGTATCTGAATTCTCTGTTTTATTATATCCTACTTTAAACAAGGAAACTGAGAGTATATTTTCAGAATTACGTGCAATAATGTTCTTTAGATTACATTTAAATTACAGAAAAGTTTTCGTGCTCTTCCTTATCTTTGTATTTAAAAACGTTTATAGCATTGATAAATCAAGCATACTTATATTTTAACAAATAATTGCTCTTGGTATTTGTTCAATTCTATAAGTTATTTTTCTCGTTAATTGGACTTTTATTGCAATATACGTGTTTATCTTTATGGATCGATGCTTAGAATTTCTTGATTTTTTTCTGCTATATTTTTTTCAAAGCATTTCATTTATCTGAAAAATTTTGCTATTCATGTTTTAGAGAAAATCAATTACTAATAATATGAAACTCAATTTTTTCTTCATTTCTTTAAAGGTGACCCTAAACGCATCATTTTAAATGTACATCTGCTTTCCAGTGAGCTCTCCTTCCAGTCAATTTCCCTAATTTTTAAATTTACGCACATTTTTTTTAATTCCGATGTAATTACGTTTTTAGCCGTAATCTGAACAGTTTAGCTTTTACACTTATTTTGCTCGGTTATTCATATATTTTGAAGGAAAAATTAATTTCCTAGCCAAACAATGATAGCTTCTGCATTTCGACTCTGTGCGATATCCAACCATACTTTGATTTCTTAAATGGTGGTGTGGTATGGTGTATTTAAATTATGGCAAAGCACACTAGGGCTATCTGCCTAAGAGGAGGGATGCCTTTCGTGGAGGACTTTCTAAGGGAAACTGGCTCGTATACACTTTGCACATGGGGAAAACCACGAAAACACCCATGCAGCAGCCCCTTCGCGGGATTCGAACCTCGGACCGAACTACCAGTGTTCAGCGACTTTACCGCTCGGCCGCTGGTGGGCCTCTTTCTTAAATGACTGAGGAAGTGTTGGAGGTCCCCAATCAAATATACTACAGGGTTGCACATGCATTGAGTGACTTAAAACGTTAACTGTGTGTACCCTTCGCGTTCCAAAAGAACTTTGTGCTAGGTACAGCTAATGAATTCCACCAATGAATTTATCTTCATCAAAAACCTAAATTCTGCACGTTCAAAAGTGTAACAAACTGGCATTCACAATCGGCCTTTAGGACAATCATACATTGCATTTTGTATTATTTTTATAGTATCAATATTTTAGCATTCGGATGAATTTCGGAAAAAAATACTGGCTGCATCATTTTATTGAAGGTTAGATCATTAAAATTGAATGCTAAATCGTATTAAAGTAATGAGTCTCATCGCAGTGATATTATGTATGTTTCCTTGCTTAATAAAAGAACGTTTTATCATTAAGCAACGGGAATGATATCAATTTCCTTCAAAATTACATACTTGCAGTTCCCTATTCAATCAATTGTCGATTCATTTAGCTTATTTTTTTTTTTAATATATATATATATTGTAGAAAGAAATTCGAATGTCGATTGATGTTTTCTTCGATATTTTGTGTAAGAATATGCAGTAAAATCTAAAATGTGTTTTTATACTTCCATTTTCTATTCTTTCGCCGTATCTTTTTTCTCTCTCTTAATACTTATCACCGAAAAATATTTTCTCAATAATCCTAACTTTATTTCCATATTTACATTAGTAAAACATGTTTCATATGACCTCATTTTAATACCAGCTTGCCTGAATGTTTTAGTAAAAATGCCCTATTTCATTCACACTTGTTTACCTCACAAGACGAATAGCTTATTTCCTCCTACTTTATGTTTAAATGTTATCGCGTCTTTATCGTTCTGGATGAAATTGATCTACGGAAGAAATATCTAGTAAATTAAATAAATACAGTCAGTTTAAACTAATGCAGATTGCTGGCAGTAGCAGCATCGTCTTACTTTAATATTTTCTATTAATTCCTTTGCATCCGGTCTCACCATTCCTTCCTTTTATAGCTGAAGCAGATTATTTAATGCTCTACAATTTGCCTTCGGGCGTACTTCTATTTATTAAAGTGCACTGGTAACGAGATCCACCTTGACCCAGGAAAAGCAGCCTATGCATAGGTTTTATAGCGTGTCGCACTAAAAGCCGCTTCTTAGAAGCCTAAGCCCTCAAGGACCATTGTTAGCTATAGTGACATGTAGCAATCACATCGCCCGAGGCAGACTTGACAGTACCTTTACAGTCCCTGACGAGCCTAAAGGATCATTGTGTAGAGGATGATTCTGGTTTCTGTGAAAGCAGCTGATCTCCTCCATACTGTCCACTCCCAACATAGGGACGTAGCGAGTTACCAGCTCAGGGTGGGAAGATCGGGCCCGTTTAGCCGCGACATTGGTAAGGTTCTTTAATATACTAAATTTAGTAGCTCCATGGACGTAGGAAGTAAGTTTATTCTTACCTTCATGGATAGCTCACTCTCACGTTGCCTCCCCTTCCTCCCGCATCGAGAGAGGACTCATGAAGAGGCTCTATTCAGTACAAACTTCATTACCAGGAATGTACTTAAATATTAGTTTAACGTGTTATAACGTGTAAACATCAATTTAGCATGTTACCAGTTTAACCTGTTATACAGAAACTGCAGATTTCCGATTGTTGATAAATAGTGAAATTATTACACAGTTTCCTATATAAAAGGTCTTTTCCTTCTATTTACAGATTCTCCTGTGTGCAAACCTGATCAAGAGTCTAACTATTCGGCACTCCTAAGCCATCCTGTCGAAATACCATGTGAAATTGAAGCGGATCCAGATGATGTCAACTTTCGATGGGAATTCAATGGCACTTCTGCAGGTGGTGATCAACAAGTGATACCTATTCATGGATCAACTACCCGGAGCGTACTTAATTATATCCCTCGATCTGAACTGGACTTCGGCATAATCTTCTGCTGGGGCAAGAACACTGTTGGACCTCAGAGGAATCCATGTGTTTTCTACGTCAACCCTGCAGGTATCAACGGGTGGGTTATTCTTATGCAACAGGCATAGGTCTTGTAATTTCCCCTCAGTCGTAGTAGGTCATTTAAATCTCTTCACGGGATTCATATGATACTGTACAGATAACCTTGCTATTTAAAGTCATATTTAGAGCATTTTAATCTGAGGTTAGAAATGCTATATATGATTCAAAATTCGAACTACTTTTAAAAACACGAATTATTTCTTGTACGTTTCAGACTAAATGTCAAGGGAAAAATGGGAGAAGAATAAATACAGTAGAATTACTTTTAAGAATAAATACAGTAGAATCGCTAGAAATTCCAGCATGTGAAGCTATAAGTTATTAAATGCCGTCATTTTGATGTTTTGTAAAGTATTAATTATTTCTTTCCGTAATTTTATTAAACTTCGATGATCATCATTCTTTGAAGACCAGCCTATCGATAAGCTTTTAAAATTTCTATTAATAACCTAACATGCATTGCTATAACTATTGGGTTGACAAGAAAAGTGATTTCTGTGTGCAGAAATACATATATTTAATCTTCGTTTAGTTATTCTTTTATCAATCTTATATGTTTTGTCTTTTGAAATTTGGCAGCTGAAACATTTAATTTGCTATAGAAACAAATTCCTTGTATTTTTGCTTACAACTGTTAGTTTACGGTTAGTTTTAACATGGAGTGCAAAAATAAACATCTTTGATATATTTTACTTTTTATTTTCATAAAGGCAAGAAAGCGGCTGAAACTCACAAACATATATGTTAAGTTCATAGTGTTGATTGCTTAACAAAACGCATGGGTCAGAATTGATTTAAAACCTTTCATTCTGGGAGTTCATTATGATGATGATCACCTTTCTAGCCGACCGTCTGAATTTGGTAATTATAAAATTAAAGCTATAATTTAATCAAACAGTTAAATAACTATGCAGGGGATTGCCAAAAGTTAAAATTTATCAGAAATGTATCACTCATAAGAACTGAAAGTAACTAAGCTAACTTGGACTCGTCAAGATGCGCGATATTTGAATTCCTCATGAACTGAAAGAAATTAACCTAACGCAACGAATCAATATTTGCGACACCCATTAAAAAAGTAATGCAACCGTTTTTTGATATGAATCACCACTTGTAATGAAAAATTGACTATCTACAACAAGATTAATAGAAACATTTCATGGTCTAGTCATGATGAATCGGCACAAATCGTATCGATAGCTAATTGCATCAGAAAAAGGTTATTCTGCCAATTTGGTGAGATTAGAAAGGCGTTGTATATTTTGAGCTGCTTCCAATGAAAGAAAGAAATACTCAACTCAAATTTTAGAATTCAGTAATTACCTTTAAAGTCTTTAAGAAATTTTCTTTACTAGAAGATCCCATGTTCTCATAATGGCGTCCTCAGTCAGTTAATGTTTTTATTGCAACAGCAAATCTTCACATAGTTATTGACTCCTTCATTTTGCCACAATAGCCTTTGTTTAACTATTCTTCTTTAGATCCTTTAAACATTATAAAGTATTCTCTCCTTCCTTTCAGCATGCCTTTATGGTCTCACCTGTAGGACGCTCGAAGTGTATTCGAAAGATCCAGAATTCGAACCCCGGCGAAGGCAATTGCAGATTTCTTCAGTTTCTTGCTTTTGAAAAATTCTAAAATGTCTACCGCAGCGCCCAAGGTGGTGGACGATAATTCATCATCAGAATTTGGCGATTTGGTCTTCGAATCTCCAGTTTAGCCTTTAAAAGGGGAAATAAAACAGGAATTTTCTCCCTTGTTCCCTCGTGCCTTTGTGGTGTAACTGGAAATACGCTTGACACGTATTGGGGATGTTCGGAAATTAAATCTCGCGAAGGTATTGCGAATTTCTTCAGTTTTTTGTCGTGTAAAACGTCTACAGCATACATGATTTATCAAACTGGAAATTCCCATGTTCAACTAGAATTTTTAAATCCCTCTAGGTTTTCAAATTCTGTAATTTCAATCTTATAATCTCACTAAATAAGACTAGAAATATTTAGTGTGGTTTGTTCGAAATACGAATTATTGTCTGAAATGGTTCCGCCCATTTCTGATTTGTTGATTTAGATCTGTTGCTTATTTTCATGAACGGTTAATGGGAATTACGAGAAATTTTGGTACTCTTCTGTTATCGGGCCTGCATTCAGAATTGTATGTATGTATGCATGTGTGTATGGATCTATGTGTTCATGTGTGCATGTATATCGTTTACGTACGCATCCATATGTGTATGTATGGATGTAGGTGTACATGTATAGATATATGTGCGTGTATACACATACACATATATGCACATACATACATACACTTCTGAATCCGGTCCCGATAACAAAAGAGTAGCAAACTTGTTCAGTATTTTATAAGCATTATTTGCAGTTATATTATGAAAGTACAATAATATATACAAATGTGATGTAAGTACGAAAATCATTTTAATTCGCAAATAAAAAGCCAGCCTGTATAAATCAAAAATCGAAATTATAACTTATGGTATTTTAAGATATGAGTTAAATCTGATGATACTAATATTTATGTCCTTTTAATGAATGGTAAATTGAAAGTAATTTTGATAAAGTAATTAGAAAACTCTCATTTATAAATTGCATATTCTCCGGTTGTTTATCTGAGAACTGCAGGTGTAAATCACTAACGAATCTCTCACTTGATTCCCTGGAAGCATTAAATTCCCAAGGATTAATTTTACCAGAGTCTTCCAATAATCAACGAAAGTGTTTCCCTCCAAAAAAAAGCAGTTCTGTGCCGCTGGAGAAAAGATAACATTTAATCTCAGCCACTTTTCGCTCGTAAACGCAGGATTTATTTGTTTAATGAAAAGGCTCATCTGTAAGCGCTCGGTAACTGAAAATTAATTTACTGCTGAAATTTCTAGTTAGTTTGTGGGCGTCGTAATTCATCGATATTATTTCCGCGAAATGAATATGAATATGTGAACCGCGATATAGCTATTTGGACTCAAGACCATTAACATTTGTCGCATGACAGTAGGCGAAGATTGTTTCTCCATTTTCCTGTTTTGCCATATATAAATTGGTTTATGTTAGATATTTATTTGTAGCTGGGATTGAGGTCTACCTCTGAATCGATATACGCCATTACGGTTGACGTTTTGGAAAGCTGGTGAATCTTTTCTTAATCATCAAGAAAATCACGAAATCTTCCATAATCTCAACTCGTACAGTCGTCAGGAGACTGATTTTTCTGGTTTTATAAATGGAATATCTGGCTCTGGAAAGTAATCCTCTTCCAATCGGAAATCAAAAACATTCACGGATGTTAGAGAAGAGTTGCAACTGCAAATAAATAGATAAATTTATATAAAAAAATTAATTACACCCAAAGGGGCTTTTTTAACGTTTTGTGTGTTACCTTTATTTATTAAATACCTTTACTTTATTTCACCCGAAGGCGAAAAGACCAATAATGACAAAGTCATTCAATAATGTAAGTATAAAAATAAGTCCGTGCAGGATCTTTGAGATTTTTATTACTATTATTATTATTATTTATTTATTTGTTTTTTTCAACCGAAGGATTATTTTTATCCCATGTGCACAATAAATGTGCTACGCGTGTGCGATAGCCTGAGAAATTTCTGTTGGATGCGTTTCAACCCAGGGCACATACAGAAATAGTGTTCGATGCTTAAAATCTATGTAAACGTTGTGGCTAACTCTAACTAAATACAATACATTCTGACTATACAATACCTTCTCTTGACTAGTGTTGAATAGCAATACTACAAGGAATTTCCTTTGTAGTACGGACTCACAAACAATGCGATCTCATTTGAACTTTGACAAAACATTATGAACAGCATCATCCATTGAGGATTTCATGCCAGTTGAAGGATATTGCAGGATTCTACTAAACGCCAATGAACATTTATCAAGATCTTGAATACTTGCATGTTTTGGGAGAGTCATTTGTGTAGCTAATAGAGGAGGATTAGTATTGCCATAGGCAAATGGTCAGCATATTACAAATAATAATGAAAATTGTATTTCGTAACTACAAATTCTATGCTTCTTAAACGGCTGGACCCATGCTTTGTGTATATTTAGATACGTACTTTTGTCTGGAATGTGCTAGATTCCATTTTCTTAATGTTGATCCTAAACACGTAGACAATTTTATGAAAAATCTCCGTTTTCGATATGGGGGATTCTAAGTCAATGCAAAACATTTCATATTATCTTACTGAAAATACATAGGAAATCCTCAATAAATAATTTAATACTTGGGTCACTTTTCAATGTTTAATTGTTATCGACACCAAGCGGGTTCATAGATACATATGTGAACTAAAAATATCTAAATTAAAATTATAACTTAAATTAGCAATAGTCCGTCAATTCTTCATTTTAACTTGAGTATTTTTCCTGTCTATTCTAAAAATAATGATAACATTTCTGGACGGTGAAAACATTTCTGCGTCAGTTCTAGATTAATTTATATCATATGACATTTATATAACGACGATGACGAAGGTAATTCAGAACTTAAAATTTCCTGAATCGAAAACTTTCTCATAATAAGCTGCCATATTGGCGCTAATATGGCATAGTTAACCTTTATATATATTTCGCTTATATATATGTTGCCACTAAGACGCTACTGCGTTGATTTCTTCCTATGCTAAAAATGTAAATATTCAGGGAATAAGTACGATTAGAGTACTAAATAAATTGTAGTGATAAATGCTAAAAGAAATAAAAATGAATATTTCATCTTCCTCACCTGCCAAGTGGCTGTTCATTATGGATCAACATCTATCAATATTTCTACTACATTACCCTAAGTTTTTTACATATAGTTATACCATAAACCTAAGTCCTTTATATATATATATATACCATTACACCTAAGTCCTATATATATATAGATATATATATATATATATATATACCATACAACTAAGTCATATATATATACTTGAATAACTATATGTTTAAAATAGCTTATGG